GTCACAATTAAAGGGTTAATTAAATGTGCAACTTCTATGAATTACCGTACCTCCTGCTCTTTAAATTAAACCTGCCAATCGAAAATCGAAGTCGACATAATGTCAAATCCAATCGAATTAAAAAATAATTTGTAGAATGGCGAATCTGTCGAAATTAATCAAAGGGGACAGTAAATGGAAAACGTCGACGGATTCGGCGAGTCGAAATGGTGCCTCAATGATTATCACCGGATGCGACCGATACGCCTTTGCAGAAAAGATACACAGCACTTGACATCTCTGAGCGTCGGTAATTTTAGCCGTTACACGACATTTACGAGGATGCGGCCGGGCCATTTATTCGTTCGCGAAAAGGAATGCGCGCGACGCTCACGAGGGATGACTTCCCGCCGCTCCTGATTTGTCCATGGTGAATCTACAGGCGCACGTGGCCGTGGGAAAACATAGACCATCGCCGTAGCTGTAGCCGGTCACTTTCGAAACAATCGTCCGCACATGCCCCTTGGAATGACAATACAATTTTTAGGGAATCTTCCAATCGACGGTTGGAAATTGTTATTAGGAAATTGGTATTTTACACAATTTTTCCATCACGAAATCAGGAATTTTCAGCATTTGCCAATGCACTCTTTCGTCGCGTAAAGATTGTAATTTAAGATCTATTTAAATGTGAGTTACTTTCATCAAGGTTTCTTTTAGATATAATTAAAAATATATATACGGTTTCTATACGTTGAAAGAATATATTTATTATTATTAATTTAATATTTATTATATTTATTATTATCTATTAATAATATTTAAATATCAAATATTGCAAAAGAAATGGTATAATACACAAACAACGGACCTCTTGGACAAAAATAAAGCTGAGTATGCTTAGGGATCATTTATAATTCCATGTATGAATCTATTTGAACATATTTTTTAAAATACTCCTAAACGCGTTGGATTTTCTATAGACCCAGCATGTAGAAATCTAAATCAACACGAATTATCTAAATTAAGTTAAATAATAATATTTATAATCTAGCTCCTAATGGGCCCAAGACGGGAATCATCCCTCACGCGACAAGGACGAAGTAAGGAAATGAAATGAATAAATTACGTCAAAAACCGAATCTTCTCACAATCTAAAAGCAGTTCAAAGTCTTTGGACTTCGAATGCTTAAAACATCATCTACGACAGGAAAGTAACGAAAGCTCGTGCTTATTGAAAAGTGCATCTAATTATGTATTATCGCGGCTCTGTTCCGGCGTTCCAAAAGGGTGGAGCAAAATGATCGGAAAGTATTTCAGCGAAGCAATTAAAACGAGGGGGAGAGAACGGAGGAGCGAGAGTTAGAGGTCACTGTCAAGTCGTCAAAACAATTCCGTCATTCTTTTTAGCATAGCCAGCCGGGGGATGCTATTTCGATCGGCGCCACATCGGTGTCTAGACCGGGCGAGTTTATTCTCGGCGGCCGCTACGGTGCCATAATAAAGCGCGACAAAGGCATTCCCTTGCTGCCATCTGTTAGAGAATGTAGTGAACCACTCGGTGTGATTGACTGTACCTTGCGGAGCTGCGAGAAGCCACCGGGTAAACAATAGCGTTTCCCTGGATTACGCCGGCCGAGTAACTCGATGGGACACGAGCCAAACCGCCGGCCTTTCATTTCACCGCTATTCCACGGTGCTGATAGCTGCCCGGCATTACGGCCGTTGCACACCGAAACATTCGCGTACGATACACTCTGAAACCACTAGTTGGCGTCTCTGCACCGATATGGCTCTTTATAAATTATTTGAAGGCCCGTTGCGAGAATAATTAAGTCCAGAAAAACCTGGCCGTGTTGGCAGACTCCTAACCGTTGATTCCAATTACAGTTTGTGTGCATAGAGGATAGGGGAAGGAGTTGCATGCCAAATTGTTTGGACATGTCTCCCAATAAAGAAACAATGCACTTTTTACGGTTTCATTGTACAGATATTGCTGAAATACACACACTGGTAATATAGCGCTGGAAATTGTTAGATGGTCTGCTAGCTGATTATGGTTTCCATACGCGGTACACCAAGAGGGTAGTTTTCTTCTACTTACTTCTATTACATTTCACACACCATTTATTAATACGGTATAAGACGATTTTGTCGAATAAAAAAGATCTCTCGCGTCAGTAAAATCCAGGTTTTTAAGAAATTGTTTTTTCCGTATAAAATAATTTGAATCGATACTGTACCGTGCGTTTACTGCTCGCATCATCAATATTAACATTGTTCGCGATTTTTATTACAACAGTTTCAAGTGCACGTAACTTTACTACGATTTTAGATGCATAGAGCTTTGCCATTACTATTTTAAATGCATACTACGTTTATTGTTATTAATATTATGTTTACTACGATTTTAGATGCGTATAGCTTTACCATTACTATTTTAAATGCATACTACGTTTATTATTATTAATATTATGTTTACTACGATTTTAGATGCATATAACTTTACCATTACTGTTTTAAATGCATACTACGTTTATTATTATTAATATTATGTTTACTACGATTTTAGATGCATACAGCTTTACCATTACTATTTTAAATGCATACTGCGTTTATTATTATTAATATTATGTTTACTACGATTTTAGATGCATATAACTTTACCATTACTGTTTTAAATGCATACGCAAATATTGTACGAATTCGATTCCTTTCAATCACCATATTTGTGATATCAAATGTACGCCGAAAATAACATCATAACTAGTGATCGAGTCCAAATGTAACACTAAACGATAAATCGACATATAACATTTTAAAATGGCGTATTGTATAATAAGCACAAAGTAGGAATATATGGTATACGAACACCTCAAGTGTAAGGACCATAATTGATTTTAGTACAGCATAAAGATCAAGAACATGCGAAAATTTCGTAATCGCAAAAGTATTGTTGCACAATTGTGTGATTCGAATAGTACATATATAACTGTACATTTAGGACCGTTACACGGGAAATAACAAAAAGATCTGTCTGTGAGCGTCAGAATTTTATCCAGTCATATAGTGCCGTAATCTAGGAAGAATGATGTTACTCCAATCATAAGAATAATACTGCTTGCCCATAGGCTTTTGCGATTCTCTAGGAAACACTATGCGAAGTATAGTCTGCGAATGGCGCAGTCATCAGAAGAGGAAACGACGTTATGTTACTTACAAGAACGCGAGAAATTTTTGTATCCGATTAGTTTTTCTGTCTTCACAAGTTTTTAGTCTCTATTTGCATGGTATAATTTTTCAAAACTTTTCTAGAGAAACATATATACTGATGTGATGCATCGGTAATTGTAAAATAAAAAATCAGAAGTCATTTAAATCCATTTAGTAGTTCTAGTATCAAATTAAGATTCATAATTAGACTGCGGATTTTTATTCAAAATAGAAATTGTCTGCATTAATTTCCTTATCAATTTGAATGAGTTGAACATTGCGTAGCAATATCTTTCAATTCTTTAGATGTTTGCACTGGTTGCAATTCGACCGAGTTTTTGTCGCAGATTCATAAAATCTGCAATATATTCCTAACTAATAAAGCAACAGTGCAAAGGATGATATTTGCCCCGAATCAGTGAAAACGTGCCAAAGAGACGCGGAAGACGGACAAGGATAACTAAGTAATTGCCGATTTCAATTATAGATGTCTCTCACTCTCATTTTTATGATATCCGTAAATGTTATATCATAAAATTATTATTATTATTATTATGTTATTTTTTATTATCCGTGAATGTTAGCAACTGGACAAATTGAATGCAGCGGTCAAGGAAAAGCGACCGGAATTGGTCAATCGTAAAGGTGTCATTTTCCACCAGGACAATGCTAGACCGCATTGACTTAGATATTTCTTTTCAACCAAAATACAATTTTATTCCCCTGCTATCAAAATTTAATTACTTCTCTTTTATATAATATTGCATTTTCTTGTAGCTAATATTTAATCATTTTGTTTCAACCGAAATAAAATTCTGTTAGCTTGCTATTAATATTTAATAATTTCTTTTCGAATTCGTTTAATACTATTAATACTTAATTATTCCTTTTTAACCGAAATACAATTTTATTCATCTGCTACTAATATTTAATCATTCCATTTTTATGATATCCGTAAATGTTATATTATAAAATTATTATTATTATTATTATTATTATTATTATTATTATTATTATGTTATTATTTATTATCCGTGAATGTTAGCAACTGGACAAATTGAATGCAGCGGTCAAGGAAAAGCGACCAGAATTGGTCAATCGTAAAGGTGTCATTTTCCAGCAGGACAATGCTAGGCCGCACACGTCTTTGTCCACTCGGCAAAAATTGATGGATATTGGTTGGGAATCGATGTTACACCCACCATATAGCCCTGATCTCGCGCCATCGGATTACCACTTATTTCGATCCCTGGACAACTCCCTTCGTGGCAAAACTTTTAACGACGATGACGCTGTAAAATCTCACTTAACTCAGTTTTTGGCCGAAAAGGATCAGACTTTCTACGAGCGTGGAATTTTCAAGTTGTCGGAGAGACAGCAAAAGGTCATCGAACAAAATGGAAAATACATTACAGATTAAACTTCATTCCAAGTAAAAAGAATTTTTTATTTCATTGAACAAATCGGCAATTACTTAGTTGCCAACCCAATAGTTCTAGACCGGGGAAGCCACTCCCTGGACGATCCAGGACTAATCACCGTCGCAGCAGCGTCGATAAAGTGGCTTAAAGTGTAATGCAATGTTTACTTACCCGTCACCTTGAAGTCTATTATCAACCACCTGCGGGGAAATTGGAGCCGATAATTGCCTGACCAGGTCGTTCCACTCCCTTTCCCTTTGTTGGAACTTCTCCTGCAACTTCTGCTTCTGTTTCTGATACTCTTTAAACAGTTCGCCGTTGTAACTCTGTTCGAGGTGATCGCCGCCCAGGGAGGTTCGAACAGGGACTGTGGTGGGGTCCGTGATTTTCGCGGCTATTCCCGTTGGCTTTTCGGCTAGAGAGTCCCTTCTGGAACTCCTGGCTGTCGATGGGGCAGGCGATTCCCTGCCAGCGATTCTACGCTCGGGCGTGGAGGTCGCTGAGGGATCCGTTTTAATACCTGTAACAACGAAACTGCATTGTTACAAAAGAGAAGAGTGAACGTGGTAAAATCTGTTTTTAGATCAGACGATTAGACGTTCGGTACATCGTACGCACAGACATGTCCAAAGATGTCAATATATTAGAATATATTTAAGGGTTTGCGTTTCAACACGTTTAAAAATATGGATGCTAACTTTCGAGAAGATTTACTTGTATTTGTTATCTCAGGATACTGATATTTTTCTCAGTATAAATAATTTCGTATAAACATTAAAAAGATCACCACTTTTTATTATGGTAAAGTGACTTAAGCCACTTTCAAAATAAATAGTTTAGAAAAATGACTGACGTATATTAATTTTGTCCGACGTATTTTACTGAAGTGATGTTTTGAAAGGACAGTGATTTACTAAAATTGTTGAATAAATTACATATATGAGCCGTTTATTTCAAAAGTGGCATAAGTCACTCTTTTTTTTTTAAATGAAAAGATACCGTTCAATTGTAATTAGTGTTACCATTAACTCGATTTTTTTGAAAAAGTGACTTATGTCACTTTCAAAATAAACGGCTCATATGTAGTAACCAAATGAGCAAAAAAATATAAGATGTGCTATCTTTTTTTTTATCCCCGATATCTTATTATCTTATTATCCCCGATATATATATTTTATCCCCTTTTTATACTCGACCGAATTAAATTGTACTTACTGGAATATTTAGAACGCGAACGAATTCAAATACCCACCCCCTATGATTTCAACTTACAACCTTCAATTTCATAAATGAAAGTATTTTCATGTTTGTGTTTCCAAAAAGCTCACCATCTGGACTCTTGGACTGTCCCCTCGTCCTAGGCGGTGCCTTCGGTTGGCTGTTGTTGTTCGTTGTTTCTTGTATCGAAGGCAACTGTTGGAATTCGGCGTAGCTGGAGCTAAGGAAGACGTCACCCTCGTTCTCGAAGAGCCTGTCCACGCTGGTGTTCATCAGCTTGTTGTTCTTGAAACCGGTTAGGTGAAAGCTCGCGAACGAGGACCTCGACATGGGATTTATATCGCCGGTGGACAGCGCCATTAGCGCGGCAGACGGTATCGGTGTATTTTTAGGTCCGGGACTCCTCGGTCCGAGACCAGCCTCTAAAGCGGGCACTAAGCTGCGCGACATCATGTCGGCAGCGGATCTCGGCCTGGTGAACGGCATCGCGCTATGCGGGAACGTCTTCGGCTTTATAGGGGTGATCAGCATGTGCTCGGTCCACGAGGTCTCCAAGGAGGGTCTCTCGAGCCGTTCCACGTCCACGTTCAACGTTCGCTGGGCGAACGGCACGGCGAACGTTTCCGGCGGTATACTTTGCAGCCAGGAAAGCAGGCTCAGGTCGGAGTCGCTGAAGCCTACGGAGCCGTCCAGCAGTCTGGAGAAGTTCATCTCCACCTGTAATTAGACCGATGAACTTCCTATACAAGCGAACTTCTAATCGCGTGTCTCGGAACACGGTCCGGTCGTCTGGCTATAACTCTGAAATCTACCTAGAACACACTACCGCTTCGTTTGTGACGAATTAACTAATGAAAGCTAACAGATAGGGGCCAGAGGGTCGTAAATCAGAGACGAGTGCGCCGAGCGATGCGATTAAGCGAACAGTTAACCAGCGAAACGTTGGGAATCAAGTTCCTCGCGGATCCTCCTGATTAATACCCGGAAACGCACCGGCCTGGTCGAATCGTCGACGTTGATGAAATATCAGTCGGTTAACGACTTACCTGCTCGCTCTCCTTCGAGCCGGTAGCTTTGGCCTGGCAGTAATTAACGCAGGACTCGTACAGAATCCCTTTGATGATCAGCTGTATCAGCCGGTCGTTCTTCGCCGAGGTGACCGGGTGCGCCGGGTCCGAGTTCTTTCTGTCGCCGGGAAGGAACTTCTCGACCAAGGGGTGCACCTCGCGGAAGCACTGGACTCTCGCGTTGCTGGGATTCCAGTCCTTGTACTGCAGGTGGTCGGTGAGCCGGGGCAACGTCAGCAGCAGGCACAGGCTGCTGTACTCCTCCTTGGAGGGCGCGACCTTCTCGAGGTCGCTGAGCACCTTGACCACCTCCTCGACCGCGTTGTCCATGCTGCCGTTCGTGCCCGCCGCGATCACGTTCGCCTCGGACTTGATGCACAACAGCTCGACGTACTTGTGCCGTAGGATCGAGTAGGTGAACTTCCGCATGTCGAAGTCCGGCAACGCCTCCAACGGCTGGATGAACTCCAGCACGTCGTCCCATTGCCCGTCGAGGATCAGCTGACGAAGGAAGAGGACATCGTCGCTGTACTGACCGTTTATGACGCCGGTCTCTCGCTCCAACGAGAGCTGCGAGATGTGAAGGTCGCGGCTGTGGAGGAACTCCAAGGTTAGTCGTACCACATCCTCCTCGCGCAGCGTCAGATGCGCCGCCGGCATCACGTACCGAATACGCAACCTGGACAGTTTCCAGAGCAGAGAATTACAGCCTCGACCTTCTCCGGAGGACGTGACGGGTTTCATGGAATTTCAATGATGGGGGAAGGGGGGAGAGGCAAACTGAGATCGATGCCTCTTCTGACATGCCGTCAGAACGCGTCACCTCTATCGTGCAATACCGGTCCGCAGATCAGGCTCTACGAACCGAACGCTGCACGCGGTTCGTGTTCCGAGTTTTTCGTATCTTTTCGTTCGTTTTCTTTTCCTTTTTTTAGAACGTCGCCGGGGGATCTGTCGCGCCCGTCGATCTTGTCAAATTCGACGTACTTTTTAACAGGGATCGAAATAAGTTATCTCTCACTTTTTGGACCCGAACGTCTCTCGGAGATGGATTTATCGAGGATGCTAGGATAATGCTTCGTTCAAGGTAGTGGAGCTGGTTACTGTGCGGTGACCAATTGTTGTGTTTTTGGGCATAATTGACTTTATGTTTGTCGAATAAAATATGTTAAATTTTGTTATTCTTTTATTTTATTTATTTTCGAACACAAAATTTGTTTACTCTTTTATGTGGTTTACTTCTGAATACAAAAATTTAATGTGTCTTATCCGTTAAGTATAAAGTTAATTAGGCCGGAAAACAAACCGAAGGCGCAGCAATTGGTCGTCGCACAGTAATTGGCTCTACTATCCTACGTCACATTTCGAAGAAATACATCTTACGACATGAAACGAACGAAACATGTTACAATGTGCTAAAATAGAGACTGCGTTGATTTATACTCCGAGAAATGTATGAGGGTTATTGAGCTTGTATGCTCGTATATGTTTCTATAGAATTTTTGTGGTAAGAACAATTACTGCAACGAGCTTGTTTAAAAAAAGTGTCGCGAGAAAAGATATTTTAGAATCCATTCGATATAATTAGTCTATTATTTATTAGTCTATATAATTAGTATATAATCCATTCGATGGAAATTACTTATCCTAGATCGTTTATCAGAAAAGGTTTCGCGCGAGAAACACAAACAAGCATTGAACTGTGAATTATCTAAATACTTTAAATAGATAAATTAATTGGAGAGTATTCGGTATTCGTCACGATGATTGAGAACTTTTTTGATATTGATGAACTAGACATTTGTTTCCATTAAAAATAGTACTTGTAAATTCCATTTGTGCTGGAACGAAGTAAATATGATCTAATAACAAAAAACGAGCTTGTTTAAAAAAAATGTCGCGAGAAAAGATATTTTAGAATCCATTCGATGTAAGTTCGATGGAAACTAGTTATCCTAGATCGTTTATCAGAAAAGATTTCGCGCGAGAAACACACAAACAAGCATTGAACTGCGAATTATCTAAATATTTTAAATAGATAAATTAATTGGAGAATATTCGATATTCGTCACGATGATTGAGAACTTTTTTGATATAGATGAACTAGACATTTGTTTCTATTAAATATAGTACTTGTAAATTCCATTTGTACTGGAACGAAGTAAATATATTAGGTCTACCGGAAAGTTCTGTCTGATAATGTCATTGCAAATTTCAATAGATATGCACATATTCATTTGAGACATATATTTTTGAAAAATGTTGCTCACAAATTGCCATCACGCTGGCAAGAGGTCATAAGTAACGACGGAAATTATATTGTACAATAAATATTACTAAATTTATGAAAAATCTATTATTTCCTTT